TATGAGGTGCTGCTGGGACTGGATAGCAGCCATTGGAAGACCACAACCAAACAAGCCATACTGTTGAAAAAGACGGGGATCTGAGCAGACGCAAGCCTGTCTGTCAACAATAGGACATCCCCTCACAGAGGGGCCACAGCGAAGGGATGAGTCTATCAGGGTGCAGCACACAATACTCCTCTGGCTCCTGAGGCTTCCTCACCCCTCACTATCATGACCCCAGTACTGCCCTTCACTGCCAGCTAGACTGGAGCATGTGCACAGGTACAGATAAGGCCTAAGAGCTCACGACACACAGAATCTAGGAACAGCAATGGGAGCAGCGATACCACGAGGGGAGGAAGGGGAACCTGATTGTGATGTTCAACACATAACCACACACCCCTCCAGGGGGACAAACAACAGAAACCATGGAGGAAGGGAGATGGCAGTCTATGTAAGATATGAAAATTATAATAATTTATAATTTATCAAGGGGCCACGGGAGGGAGCTGTAGGGGGAAAAGAAGAGCTGACACCAAGGGCTCAATAGAAAATGACGGCAGTATATGTACAAATGTGCTTGATACAATTGATGTATGGTTCCCAGAGCTGTAAGAGCGCTCAATAAAACGTAAAAAAAAATAAAAGTTTCTATGAATGTCGAACTATTTGTCACCTCAGTCCTGCCCAGCTTTGCTTCCTATCAGTACTCTTTATGTACCCCTATGTTGACATTTGCGTTATCTTCTTGATGGACTCATTTATCATATCATATGTACCCACCAGTCTTGGTGTAAAGATTGGAGGGAAATCATCTCCTACTTTGGATGTAGCCAGGGAAAAGGTACCCTTTTTGAAACACCCTCAAAACATTGTGTTCTCCCTAACAACTCACAATAGGAAAAACATCATCTGCACAAGCCCAGAAATAAACCCACAAAAATGCAGTCAATCCATGATAGGCATAAGGGTAATTCATTAGAAAAGAATTCCCTCCCACAACAAATAGTGCTTAAACAATGGGACAGCTACCTGCAAAAAGACCCAAAAACAAATCCACAGAACTGACAACTTTTACAATAATGAACTCATTTATGTCAGGGATCTTAGACATAAATGCTAACTCTAACTATACAATGCCTAGAAGCTAAAACAGGAGAAAATCTAGATGGCCTTGTGTTTGGCAATGCTTTTAAGATATACACTATAATAGTTGGGTCTGTGTCACCTTAGCTGGGCCAGGAGTCTCAGAGCATAGACCTGAGCACCTAGTAATGTCCTGACACAATGTCAATTAGAGCCAATCAGCTGTAAGATTCCGTTGGGCTGCAACACTCTTATCAGATCACAACCCCGACAGACAGGAACTGGAAATACAGGGAATCCAGGGCGGATGATCCCTTCAGGACCAGTGGTGTGAGTGACGATGCAGGGAGGGTAGAGGAGAGTGGGTTGGAAAGAGGGAACCAATTACAACTAACTACATGTGACCTCCTCCCTGGGGGACGGACAACCGAAAAGTGGGTGAAGGGAGACGTGGGACAGGGAAAGATATGACAAAATAACAATTTATAAATTATCAAGGGCTCATGAGGGAGGAGGGAGTCGGGAAGGAGGGGAAAAATGAGGACCTAATACTGGGGGCTTAAGTGGAGAGGAAATGTTTTGAGAATGATGAGGGCAATGAATGTACAGATGCACTTTACACAATTGATGTATGTATGGATTGTGATAAGAGCTGTATGAGCCCCTAATAAAATGATTAAAAAATAAATAATTATTAAAAAAAAAAGATTCCGTTGGGCTGCAACACTCTTATCAGATCACAACCCTGATGCAGTCAGAAGGCAGTTCCCTTAGGAGTGTGGCCGTATCTATGCACAAGGATGCTATGGAAGAGCTTGCTTGCTCTTTGCTGGGTCTGATCCTGTGTCTGGCTCACGACCTTGGGTTCTTTGGATTTGAGGGAGAGGCCTGCAATGTTGCCTGCCAACCCTAGGAGGCATCAGTGGCCTGCCAGCTGACCTACTGTCCTTACACTCATTGGTCTCTGCAACCACAGCCTGGCCTGTTGGTTTGGATTCCTTTGCTTCCAGAGCCCCACGGGATGGTAGTCTTATTGCTGTTCTTGGCTTGATCCGCCCTCACAGAGATACTACCAACCTAACATCTTACCCATGGACTTGGAACCAACCCGCCTGCACTTGACCTTGCCTGCTTCTACCTCTGTGTGAGCCATTCTCTTGGTCTAAGTTTCTCTTTCTCTTTATGCTGGTTTTGCTTCTCCAGCAAACCCGTCTTAAGACAAATACCAAATCCATAAAGGAAAAACCGGCAGACTCATTCATAATAAAAATTGCGGGGATGCAAAATACAATTAAAAAATGAAAAGAGAAGTCACAGACTAAGAGAACATATTTCAAAACATATCTAACATGAGGCTTTGGCCCTTAAATTCCAACAAGAACAAAACCAGCCCAATTAAAAGAGGGAACAAAAGATCTGAGACCTCAGAAAATACTATGAGATGACAAACAAGCCTAGGAAACAAGGTAGGACACCAACCTATTAGAATGGCGAAAACCCCCAACTGTGTAAGGCAAGGGGTGAGCACTGCTGTATGTAAATGATGGCACTTAGCTAATACTGCTGTGTCAATAGGAGCTCAAGTGCAGTCGGTGTAGAACTCCGCCACATGGTGTTCATGACAGGAGAAGCTCTGGAGGGAGCAGGGGTGAAAAACCTAACCCTGATCTAAAACAATAACATGTATTTGAAAAGTTCTTTTTTTAAGGAGAAGAAAAAGAAGTACTGCTATATAAGTAGTTTAATATTTTATTTGAGAAACCAGTTAGAAGCACTTTTTTTTTTAGAAATCATAGGCATTTACCAATGGTAAGGTGTCAATCTGTTTTAACAGTAAAAATAAGTTATGCAAAATTTAGTTTCTGATTTATATCACATTTTATATTCCATCTTTTATAAGTCACATGTACTCCTTGAAGGGAAAAAGACTAAAAGTACCAAGCGCACAACAAAATAGATTAGATGTAATTGCTTTTGTGCCAAAGGAATCACATTAGAATAAACAATTATAAGCTTTTGACAGATGACAAAGCCATGTTCTATAAATATAAATGTATGTGATATGCTATAGCATCTGCTACAAGTATCAACTTTACTACTTCTCCAAATATTTTAAACTATAGTCCTTTTTTAACCCCAAGCCACAGTTTCCTTATTTACACTTTAGGATTTGCACTTTATGCAGATTAATTATTAAGTCAGACATTTAATGATCTTTGAATAAGGAAGAAGATTAATTATTAAGTCAGACATTTAACGATCTTTGAATAAGGAAGAGCAAAGAAAACTGATGTATTTGAACTGTATATGGTGCTGGTCAACAATATAGACAATACCATGGTCTGGCAAAAGAACAAAGTCTTGGAAGAAGTACAACCAGAATGCTCCTTAGAGGCAAGGAAGGTGAGATCATGTCTCACATACTTCAGACATGTTGTCAGGAGAGACCAGTCCCCGGGGAAGGACATCACGCTTAGTCGAGTAGAGGGCCCTCGACAAGATGGATGGCCACAGTGGCTGCAACAATGAACTCAAACACAGGAGAACCCAGACTTCGACGCTGAGCCGTTTTAGGAGCTTCAAGACGTGAGGCAGTAGAGTTTCGAAACAATTTTTCCCATAAGAAATAACTGAAAATGAATTAATCCGTTCTCAACCACCAAGTTTTTACCCTAACCTTGCCTTTTTATACAAAACATACAGAAATTTCAAAGTAAGTAAGTTCAGAGTTAAATAATACCATTTAAATAAGAAACACAACATTAAAAGTTTTTGAACAACTACAGTATGGCCCATACCTTGAGATGGATGAGGATCTGGATCTGTGGACACAGACGTGGTCAGGAGGTATGGAGAGAGAATCCCCCATCATAAAATCAACTGGTAGCTGCTTTTCAGGAGGTTTTTTCCTTCTTTGCCCTTTCTCACTAGGAGCTGGCTGGTCTTCTCTAAAATCTGTCTAATGTGGTCTTCTCTTGGCGTTTCCTTAACTGTTTTCTAAAAGGGTTTACTACACAGCTGCAAAAGGTTTAAACAACACATACTAACAACGCCAAGTAACGCCAAGTGACCGAACCACGAACTGCTTTTGTTTACAAAATTCACGTGCGTCGGGTAGGATTCCGATGTTGCCTTCTAGCTCCTGGTAGCATTTTCTCCGGTTGAAATCTGATTGGGGGATGTCGAGTACTGATGCGGTTGAGCACCGGGGTTCTACCGCATACAGACAACTGTGAGAATAACGCAGGGCCGGCAATGTTTTGTTTCGTTCTGATGGACATAGGTCACTACGACCTGGAACTGAATGGATGGCACCTAACAACAGCAAAGACATGTAATAAAAGGTACCCTAGGAATCTTACAAATAAAGTAACATCAGACAAACTGAGAGCGTCAGCACAGGCGCTGCTTGACTGATCCGTTGCTGTGCCTTCGCCGTTTTTCACTTCAGTGCTTGAGTCGATCTCTATGTCTACGGCAGACGGGTGGTGCAGCTGGCTGGATCTGGAGTTCACACTGCAACAAACACCAGTCTCCAAACACAAGATTGGCAGACAGCAGAGCTGACGGGAACGTGCACCAAAAGCGCACTGACCAACAGAGCTGAACCTTCCCTGGAGTCAAGTCCAGGGCAAAAGGGGTGAACCCCAGAGGCTTTAAACTACTTTTCTCTCTCGTATATGCACTCCTTTTTTATTTATAATTTTTATTTTTTGCTGAATTTAAATGTAAAATCACATAAAATGTGTACAGACAATTACGAACTATGTGCAAAAATAAAACACGAGGGTCACAGCCTTGTACACCACTGTGATTTCTTTTTTTTAGAATCCTTTTAGGGCAATTACTGCAGGGTGGTACAGAGGTATAGGCAAGGCTCAACAAAGCGACTCCCATAAATTCTTAATAACGAGTACAAAAACAAATGGATCTCTAAGTTAAAAGACGTTTATTGGGTCATATCCTGAGAAACACTGCTTTTTATTAGATGAGTTTCTTGGGCGCTATGATTTTAGTTTTGTCAAAAAAAAAAAAAAAAGCCTTTAACCTCTCCTTTTCCCAACATTTACTCCCCAGAGTAGTGGGGAGGTGGACAGCAGAGCACAGAGCATTTCTGGCCCTAGGTATTAACATATATTACATTATTTACAGGTGATCATGACCAGGGCAAAGAAATTATAGGAGCTTATCAATACACAAAGAAAACCTTAACCATCAGATTTCAAAGTAAAGAGACTACGAACAAGGCACTCTCAGTGCTTCAGGGATAACAACTTTTTGGCTAACGCCATCACATCAGATCATCAGGAGGAGTGCCTGCACTTGTTGTGGCGAACGATGCAGAATGTTCTCCGGGTCCTTGTACTCGTTGGCTGGGTCCATCACAGCTGCGTGCACTTCACTGTAGGCTCTGCAGACCAGGTCGGTCGATTGTTTTAGGATCTGCTCTCTGTCAATAAACACACAACACGTGAGCACAGAATCCACAAGTCAAATACTTACAAGTCAATTGATGCCATTCTCGTAACGCTCACTCCAGTATTATTTAAAAATCAGTGTACAACCAGACCAGTTAATTTAGGAATAAAGCACATTTTTTTCCATTCATTAACTCATTCTTTCCCATTAGTGTTCAGTAGGAGGGGAGAGACTATTGTTCGCTGCTGAATCCTTAGGGCACACGGATATAAGGTGAATTGCTAAACACAGTAGAAACTGGCCTACTAGCAAAGCACTGATTTTACAAAAGCAACTGATAATACGTTAACCTTGAAGATGTTCACAAATATATTCAAACACTCTTCTCCCTTAGAAAAACCAACACCAACACATCCTACGTGAACACCCCCAGATCCTGGATCCCTCTCATCTCTATTGATGGTGCCAGCCTTCAGACATGGAACACTTGCCCACAACCCATCTCGGCACTCTTACAAAAGCACATAAAAAAATCTTGCAACTGCTTCCCACAATATTCAGCTGTAAAATACAGTGGTGTGCCCAATCTGCACCAAACCTCTCCTTGTTCTCACTGACCTCCCTCTGTGCCCTCCAGGTTCAGCTACCTACTCCGCATGCCCTGCTCTACCGGGGACTTGAACACTAGCACGGTTTCGGATGTGGCAGAGCGGAAATTTAAAATACTCTGCTCCAAATCTACTTTCCCCTTAACATTTCCCATTTCTGTTCCTGGCATTAACCATGTAATGATAGCTTTAGTAAAGGGACTAATGAGCTCTTCCTGGAGCACCAACAAAACTCGAATCCTTTTCTGACTCGGTCCTCCCTTCCCTCTTGGATCAGCAGACACTGCTGCTGGCAGCACACCTTTCCGCGTGTGCTTTCGTGGCATGTGTACTTGGCTGGGATGTTTTGTATGTGTAGGGGAGAGTTACTGTTGTAAGCTGGCGACATTGAGCCAGGTAAAGAGGGCTCTAGGGGCTCCTTAGATTAGATGGAGGACGTGTTGCTGTAGCGTTTTCTAAGGGAGAATATTTCGATAAGCATCTTTCAAGTAACTTGATTTTGCCATGTTCATATAGCCTCTAAACATAGCGTGTTTTGAATAAAGTGAGCGCTTAATAAATGTTCGCTGAAGGCTTGAAGGCGAAAAAGACCTTTTTTCCCCCTAAAAAGAATTCTTAGTCTGGGCACAGAGTGGGAATAGTAATTAATTATACTGTATATGCCTTAAATGTAATTTGATTAATATGTAACTATATTGGTGTTATATGCATTGAGATCAGGGAGCCATCATCAACATAATCCATTCTTGAAGCTGTGTCTCAAGGAATGAGGGTCTTTTTAGGATAATCGTGACCAAAACAGAGCATTTGGGAGCGTGTCTGTGGTGAAATGTACATATCGGTGGTCTGGCAGAGAGCACAAAAAGTCAAGTGAAATGATGGAGGAAGCCGTGGCTGGGAGCTCGGATCATCAGGACCTGGTTTCCATGGGGGCTCACACTCTGGGAGCAACTTGACATTTTCAAAAAGTACCTAAAACTTCCCAGGCACGAGTGAGCAGAAGCAGGAGGCGCGGCAGTTAACTGTCTGCACAGAATGAGTTGGCTCCACTAGCTGCGCCGCTTCCCCAGCAGCTCCGAGGTCCCCAAACTCAGTCACTGAGACCACCTAGCGATCTCGTGAGAAAACAGACCCCTAGCCTCCTCTCCCTAGAGATTCGGTTTTGTTTTTTTACATTTTGATTTTTATTTATTTAAATCATTTTATTGGGGGCTCGCACAACTCTTAACACAATGCATATATTAACTGAATCAGGCATGTTTGTACATATGTTGCCCTCATTCGCTTCTAGACATTTACTTTCTATTGAGCCCTCGGTACCAGCTTTTTCTCCCCCCTCCCTCATAACCCCCCCCACCCCCATAGATTGTACATTGTTATTATTTTCATCTCTCACACTGACCACTGTCTCCCTTCCCCCATGTTTTCTGTTGTTCTTTCCCCCTGGAGAGGGGTGTATGGTTATGTGTCGATCATTGCGATAGGTTCCCCCTTTCTCTTTCTCTCCCGTCTTCCCCCTACCCTTCCGGCATCACTATTCCCACTCCTGGATTCTGTGTGTCATGAGCTCCCATCCCTGCCTATACTGAACCGGGAAGCAGCACTAGGGTCATGGTAGTGGGGGGTGAGGATGCCTCAAGGAACCAGAGGAATATCGTGTGTTTCATCAATTCTTTACTGCACGCTGGTGACTCATCCCCTCCCTGTGGGCCCTCTGTGGGGAGACTGTTCCACTATCTACAGATGGGCTTTGGATCTCCGCTCCAGCCCCCCTCGTTCTCAGCACTGTTTGTGTTTGTTATGTGTCTGCTGATGCCTATTACCCAGTCCCTATGACTCCTCATGATCACACCGGTGGTGTGCTTCTCCCATGTGGACTTGTTGCTTAAGTTGCAATTGGCCCCAGGGATCTGTAGGTCCGCCAGATCCCCAGATCAGCCAGGTGTGGGAACATAGGTGTTAAACAGATACTGGCAGAAACACGTTTGGAAACCTCTATACCAGCGGTTCTCAACCTGTGGGTCGTGACCGCTTTGGGAGGGGTGTTTCGAATGACCCTTTCACAAGGGTTGCCCAATTCATAACAGTAGCAAAAGTACAGTTATGAAATAGCAACAAAAATAATTTGATGCTGGGGGGGGGTCAACACAACATGAACTGTATTAAAGGGTCGCGGCACTAGGAAGGTTGAGAACCACTGCTCTAGACTCGTGAGGTTTCACGATACTTTTTGATGAGCCTTCCCACAATTAATTGGGCTAAACCACAAATGTAGCAAAGTAGCTTAAATACTCATTTCCATAAATCAAATAGCTGAAAAATACTCAATACTGGCAGTTTTAAAATGTGTCGGATATGCTGTATATTTGATAGCCGTTTGGCAACAAGTCAAACATTTGATTTTAGATACGGGCTTTTCAGTTCTGCATTCAAAGTATAACAGAACTGGGGGAATGTTTAAGTATTCACTACTCACATCTCTTACTCTATCTGCACTCAATCCTGATCAAAAGCAGTCCCAGGGGGCTTCCCAACTCCCAAATTTCATAGGTTTTGTGGGGTGAAAGTTCATACAATGTTTTTAAAATTTTATACAAATTGTTCCATGAAATTGATTAAGATTCCATCAAGTGTCAGCATCTTAGTTCCTTTCTGTTTGCTCTGTTTCCATGGACCCAGCTTCCTTCCTTCCTTCCTCCCCTTGCTTCTGGGTAAATGTGAACTGCTTGGTCTTATGTTATTTACCGGGTTACGGAAAGCATGATTCACAGGTGATGGTGTTTAACTTATAACTTAATCTATTGTTTGGCTAAAAGGTGCTCACAGGCAGGAGTGGTTTCAGTTTTAGGTTAAAAGGTGTCTCAGAGTGATCGTCTTGGGGGGTTCCTCCGGTCTCTACTGTGTTCAGGGATCTAAGTTTTGTTCTACATTTCTCTCCCATTCTGACTTAGCCCTGGGGCGTCGCCCTGGTCAGAACAATCAGCATTAGTAACTGGGCATAACCTAAGGCTTTTGGTCTCAACTTCTAAGAGGCTGATTTCTCTACCATCAAACAAAATATTGGACAAAGTATACTTTATAAGCTACTTTCCGCTTTTAAATTATGCGACCTCTTTGAGAGTTAGGCGCATTTTAAGGATATACTATTAAAACATTCCCCTTCTCTCTTTCTGTGGGTGGGTTTTTGTATATATAGGTGCATGTATGTATATTTATACATGCACATATATACTACTTTGGATATGTGGATATACAACAGTTTGGTTCCCTAAATATTGACATATAATAAGCATAGCAGGTTATTTGTATATAAATGATCATTTCCGGTAGGTTGAAAGGTTTTATCTATTGTCACTTTACTATCCTTTCCCTTTTATGAATAATAGTAATTACTATGTTGAGAGAAAGACAAGGCGTTCTCCCTCCGTGAGGAGTTACAGCCTCAGAAACCCACAGGGCAGTTCTCCCCTGTCCTGCAGGGTCTCCGTGAGTCAGCAGCACGGACTCCATGACAGTGTGGATCCCGATGGTAATTAAGCGGATCCTTTGTCTTTAGAAATCTTTGTGCATGTCTCTATCAATCTATCTGGCTGGCTGCTTATCTACTTATTTAAGCACTTTATCTAGTTGTCAGTCTAGTATCCCAGTCCAAATTATTCACTTATCATGAACATCAAAGTACGAAATAGTAGAGTCAAATAATGAGTCATTACACAATCAATTCTCAAAAGGGAAAAATTGCTAGTATTCTACAACTAAATCCAAAATGACGGGGGGAAAAATCATCTCAGTCCTTATACACTTGGAATATACTTACCCATACACCACCTGTGTATAGGTAGAGAAAGGCAATTGTTTTTCCCTACAGTAAGCACTGGTGGCAGTATAGGAATCCCTCTCAGATTTCAGTTACAGACTATATGTCAGCAAATTACAGGCAAGCCTACAGCCTGTGGATGGAGAGTACTTTCAGCACTGTGTTTGTGGGTCAAAATGTTAAAGACGGGCCTTGCTTCTCACATGACCACAGCACATGCCAAAAGGGCCAGTTGAAAGTAAAAAATAAATTCACTTGATCCTCTGCAAAGTTAGAGCATACTTTTCTGGTCCTTGTATTACCAAGAAATCCTCATATTAGCTTGTTAAGTGATTGGGTGGTTTAGTAACTCTTCCAATGCAAGTGTGATTACTCCCCCCGCCCCAATATGACTCGCAAAAATAATAAGCACATGTCAAAAAGTTAATAACCCATTAATGAGGAAACTATTAAGGTAGTGAAGTTGAGGGCCTCTGATACATATTTAAAAGGACATTCTTCCAGCTGCTATAAGTCCAGAAAGTCTGGATTCCATGAAACTTTTAAATTCCGTTCTACAATTCTCTCCCGAATGTTGATCAGGATTCTTACACAGAAGCTTTGGTCTAAACGGCCAGTCAAGGAAGTTGGGCACCATCCAGTTCGAGTCTGTGGCAAAGAGGGCAATTTGTTCATGGAGACGATTCTTCAAACACCCATGTCCTGCTCCTCCTGTCCTTGACTCTCTTCATTCCTCTGTTGCTCCGGGGCCCAGAGGTCACGGGCATGCTTTTAGGACCCAGGGAAAAGTCAGAAGCCCTTTCTCCCTCTCTCTCCTGCCCCTCGCTAGTAACCACTAATACACTTGGGCCTCTCATCCTTTGCCAGTTCTTCTCATACGATATTTGAGGTCACATTTCAGTCAGCATGACATCGTCAAGTTCCATCCATACTGTAGCAGACATCACGACTTCGTTCTCCGAGTGCCTGAGAAGTGTTCCCCAGTACATACGGTGCCAACGCATCTGTGAATGGACATTTAGGTTGTTCCCACTTTAGGGCTATTGTTAACAATGTTGCCCGTCAAACCACTGCCATGGATGATCCTTAAACCTTACACTAAAAATATCCGCTGAAATCTAACGTCAATAGTTTAGATTAACTAGCAAAGGGTCTCTCTGCCTTGCTCATGTGTTTGAAGAACAATCTACATGAGATCAAGCTGAAAACAGCAGCTCGATCGACAGGAAATTTAGGGAGCAGCGAGTCTGGGTCAGCCGGGGAGGCAGAAGTCAGCAAAGAAAGTGGATGACAACGGATGCACACTTTGAACAATGTTCTGCTGTAGATATTCTTAAACACGCTAAGAAAACATAAATTTTTTTTAAAGGTGTATTAGACTAAGATAGGATGAATACCATACTGGGTAACATCCTACCGAGAAGTAAGAACTTTACTTTGGGGGTTATCTCTTCTACGAGACAGAATCTACCCCTTCACACGTAACTCCCCACGCATGGGCATCCTTAATCAGCAGTGACCAGAGACTCCAACAAGGCACATCTCCCTACGGCACTAACTGGAGGGACCTGCTCAACCACGCTTCAGTACCACACTGGAAAAGAAAAGTTCTGCTCTCCCAGCACTCTTCCATTTCATTTGTAAGTTCTGGGACATTTTCTTCATATCTCTTACACTTAGAAAATCGTGTGTTATGTCAACTGATCAGATATCAGATATAATAATCATATAGCTGATGGACTATGAGAATAAAAAGGAGAAAACATTGCAGGAGTGCTGCTATCGCCTTGTCCAGCTAAGATGGAGAAGTTCAACTTGCTCAGTTAACAGTGCCACGGTGCAGTAACAACTGAGTATCATAAAGTTTAATATCGCTGCAAAATAATGCCCTTCTCATTTTAAAACATGTTCTGATAAATTAGCTGTATTTTAATAAGTATTGAAAGTCTTGAGCTTGATAAGAAATGAACCACTTACTTGCAGAACTATTGAGCTTGTCATTAATCAGTACTTTCGGATTTCGGTTACCATAACAACATGATACAACTTTTGTCATTACCATAAACCCAGCAGTTCTAAAAATAGCTTATTCCAACACTCAGGTTCTGTCATCATTAAAATTGAGCTTTATTACAGCACCAGTTAAAAGTGCAATCAAATGCACCACAGGAGGAAAGAAGGTGTTAACAACTTAAGGCTGAAAAACTAAGAACAAGAGATGATAATACATTTATGAATAATAGATTGGTTAATGAAAGCACATTTGCTTCCCTTTATCACAATGTAAACAGCAGAAATGTCACAATGGGTCAAGCCAGTGTCTCAGCCCAGGTCAGTGTTCTCTCACAGTGAAATGAAAGCTCATTGCACAAAACTGAGGCATCCATCTTGTAAGTGCAATTCATCACATATTGCAAACATCTTTGAGTTTCCTCAAAAATAAGATGATTTCAACCGATGAAGGGATAATAAAAATGCAGTGCAATCTAGTGTTGAACAGAAATGGTTGTGGAATCAGAACTTGGAAGCGTATCTTGGCTCTGCTTCTTGTTAGTTCTTGGATCTTGGCTCCATTGCTTAGCCGTTCTATGTCCCCTTGGGCACAATAAAGAGCCGAACCCCTGGCAAATTCAACGAGATAATCCACTGCAGAGTCCCCGGGGCTGGAGCATTCGGATTAGACTACAGCGATGGGGGGGCAGAGAGAGCATGCATGAAAACGGAAACGGAGGAGACTAGTCAGTTCATGGGCTCTTGTGACCACCCTGGCAGAGGATGCTAGCACAGATGAGTGGCTATTGTGGAGGCATTTGAAAGTGACCAGAGTCCCTTCTCACATGTTCCCTTCTGGATATATGTTTACTGAAATGGTTCTAGAGAAATCTGATTGGAGTTAAAGGAATTTATAGACTAACCTGTTCTACTAGTGATTTTTGCCTCATCAGGAACAGGGGCTCAGGCACAGAACTGTGAGTTGGTGCAGGCGTGGGCGGGATTTCCTTCTGTTGTGCACAGTATAGCTATGAGTCAGCACTGCAGCTTTTGTTCCTTTGTGAACGCACAGTTGCAGCCGCACTACCCAATTCATCTTGTAGAGGGCAGCACTTCCTTCGGCTGTGCATAAGGTCACTATGAGTCAGACCTACGCACTGGCACCTAACAATAAGAACGTTATCTGGCATTTAAAAACATGTGGCTCTTCACCAAGCACTTGGAACCCACTACTTACTTTACTGTGGCGCTCAGCAGAAAATTCAGTTGTGGCATTAACAGATTGTCTGGGGCTGCCAGGTAGCGATCAAACTGAACCTTAAAGAAACAGAAATGGAAAACATAAAGGACACATATTTGCTATCACACATCTCACTTAGGAGTTACATCTTCAGGGGAAAAAATAGGTCATTAATAACTAGCTCTTTGTGTGTTCTAAGATCAATCTGCATGGGATATGCTCACTAAAGCTCCCTAAACCTGTCTGTTTGTAATATAATATTAGGAACACTTACTTTGAAAACTTCCAAATTCAAACCATTCATTGTTAATGTCCCTCCCTCCCCTGGTTCTTTTACAGAACATCAACAAAAAGTCATCAGATTTTGAGTCTACTCGACTTGCCTGCACCCACGGTATTTGTTCATTTGATCATTCATGCATTTATTCATTCATTCGCTCATTCAATGAACACTCACTGAGTACCTACTATTTGGAAGGCTCTATGGTAAGCAAGAGAGATGAAATGTTGAAGAAAGAAGTAACTGTATTTCCTAGCTTCATAGCACTTATGGCAAGTATTAAATAATATTATAAATGTTTAATTTCAAGATCCGGTAACTAGTATGAAGGGGAAAAAAATCACAGTATTTATAAAAACATCAGCCAGGGGAACATGACCATGGCCTTTAGGTTTAGCAAAAACCATCTCTGTGGGACGGCCATCTGAGGTGGTAACTTTGAGGTGGCAGGCATTAGCTCAGGGGAAAGGGCTTTGTTTTTCCAAGGAAGAGGGACGGCATGAAGTCACGGAGCCAGGGAAGAGAATGAATACAGAGAAGGCGAGTAGCAGAGAGAGAGATTGTAGACATTTATAAGAATTTTAGTTTGTCACGTTTAGAGCACAAATGCATTGGGACACCATGGAAGATAAGTAGGAGAGTATCATTTACTTTTTAAAAAGCTCAATCTGGACGTAGCAAACCAAACGGAATGGACTGTAGTACGGGTAGATGCAAAGGCACCAATTGGTAGTAGCTACTGTAACCCCGTAGGCTACAGAGATAGAAAGGAGGTGGAGGAAGATCCTTGAGAGTCAGAGTAAAGTCATTATTTGGAACTGTATAAATTAATAGCACGATCACCATGTATTTCTTATTATTTAGGTTTTGTTTTGAATCCACTACATTCAAATGCATATGGGTTTCAGCCCAAAGGGAGGGGTGTCTGGCCCCTAAGGTAATCTCAAGCACATGTCTTTCTGTCCTGGGCACATAGCCGTGTGACGTTCTCACCCTCCCTACGTACACAATGCTTTGGAAAGGAAGTAATTTCCCGAAGGAGCTCTCCTCTCCCTGTCCTCTTTCCAGCCGCGTGGTGCCGACTTTATGTGTTCATTGCACTCTTTAACACAGGGTGGCTACAATTAGCTATGGCCTTGGGCTGCTGCCCTGACCCTCAGCCACAAGAGCTAGCTCTAAGACAGGCCAGAAAGACGAACACCTGGCTTTGGTCACTCGGTAGGCACAGAGAGGTTAGAGCAGATACAAACGACACTTCGTGATACCAGACTCTGTGGGGGTGCAGTCTGGCTCAAAAAGGCCACACTGAACTAGAGAGTGGGCCAGGTGCAGATAGGTGAAGCCTCAAACCTTCTGCAGCCTTTATTTCACTTTTTCTCGAGTCTGCGTTCATTGAGTTGCTATAACCCACGACCTTTCGACTGCTCCCAAAGTTCTAAGAGAGTTGATTTTGTCAGTTTGTGCAGATTTGTTTGGACTTACTCGTTTGTGGGGGCTTGGGATTCCTGGTGTTGCTTTGGGTTAGGCTCTGGGCAGCCCACTGCAGGTCAGCAGTGCACACGCACCGGGTGTTCAGGGGAAGAAAGGCGAGGCTGCCTGCTCCATGCAGTAAAGAGCTACAACCTCAGAAACACTGTACACGGCAGCTGTGAGCGGGAGTTGACGTGATGGCAGTGGGTCTGTTTGTGCGTATGTGTGTTTGTGGAACATGCAATTGGTCATGCCACCATGTTGCTAAACATTTCTCGTTATTTAATTTTGTACCAGTCGTTCACTGCTCGGACAGCTACAGCTCATTATCAACTTGGCTGGGCCAGGATTCTCAGCGGTTTGGCAGTTAACACCTAATACTCCCCCCTCACCTGACTGAACAGGAACACCACGTAGGCACAGCCCATCAATTGTAAACTTGCATAATGAGATAAGATGAGGGTGGAATGCAATACCTGGCTCATACAATTAAAAGGATTGTACCCCTCTGGGATGTGGTCTCTCTCCAATATAAGGAATGCCATGGAAAAGTTTCCTTTGCCTTTGCTGGGTCTGAATCCTGCATCTGGTGGATTTTCCAGTTCCTTGGATTCACTGCCTCTACAGCTACTCAAGATAAAAGCCTCCAGCCTAACATCTGGCCTATGAACTTGAGGCCTTGCTGCACTTGGACTTGCCTACTTCGACAACTGTGTGAGCCATTATCTTGATATAAATTTCCCTTTCTATATACATATATAAGTGCCGCTTGGTTTTGCTTCTTTAGAGAACCCAGCCTAAGATAATACCTTTCTCTTACTAAGGAAGTATTCCATTGAATAGGCACATAATATCATTCATTTACTCAGTAGATAAATTTTTTTAAATTTTTGCTTGAATGTTTTGTTGGGATATTATGCTGGTATGAATACTCAAACAGTTTTCTTTAGGTGAATATACGTGTTCATTTTGGGTGGTGCAATCATTGGGGTATTTGGTGACCATAAGGAGCCCTGGTGGCACAGTGGTTATGTGGTGGGCTGCTACCTGCAAGGTCAGCAATTTGAAAGGGCCAGCTTCTCTTGGGAGAAGGTCAGTTGACATTGAGGCACTGAAGAAACTCAATTCAAATAAGAAGCTAGTCAAGCAGAGTCCCTGATCAAGCGGGTCCCTTGAATCTTGCTAAGAGGCTTGAATACGGCTGGCAAAGTCTCTTCCCTGTGGACTCACAAGGAAAGCACGGTGGTCAAAGCCGGTGAGGTGACGCCCACCATCAAGCTACAGATGAAGAAGAAGGTGCTGTGTCTGGTAGTGGCCATTGACCATGTGAAGATGACAGATGATTAACTTGTTTACTTGGCTAATTTTACTTATTTGTTTATTATTTCACTGCTAAAGAATGGACCAAACATCTGGGCTTTGGAATTTTACCAGCATATGCTCAGGTAAGTCTTCCGTGTTCTGACTTCTTTTTCTTTCTCTGGTTTCTGGAACGCCTTGGATGCAACAGTTGTTATTCTGGTTAGCAAACAAGACATCTGCTATTGTTGTTGGATTACCTGAGTAGTCTTGCAAGCAAGAAGAGGCAAAAGTGTATCCTCTTGTATGATACACTATATTTTGTTTATCCTTTCATTAGTGATTTAGGTTGTTTCCTACTGAGGGTGTACTATAAATAATAATGCTTTGAACAATTCATATCTAAGTTTCTCTGTGAAGAATGGATTTTCTGGGTCATATGGTAAACTCTATATTTAACATTGTAAGGGGCAAATAAAACGTTTTCCAAAGCAGCTGTGTCATCTTACATTCTCCCCAGCAAAGCATGAGGATTTAATTTCTCCACATGCTCCAACACCTGTTGCTATCGTTGTGACTGTAAGCATCTTCTGACTAGATATGCCCTATGGGAAGTTCTGCAGGGAGTCCTTCAAGTTGAGATGAAAGGGCATTAGACAAATAACATCAAACCATATAAAGAAAAAAGATCTCTAATGAGGGTAACTATGTAGATAAATGCAATCATTGATAGATGTACACTTAGAAAAAAAAGGAGTTAATGAGCAATGAAATAAACCTGACTCATTTATTGCCTTCTTTAAACCTAATAAAAGGGTTTTGAAACCAAAGTTTGTCCTTCATATCTATAAAGATCACTTCTACTAGACAAGCACTCACTTATTCAACAACTACCCCAATAGGCGTAGGCACTCTGATTTCCTATAGCCACTAATGAACTATAATTTTAGTGTTTCCTGATGTGTAAATGAATTAACTGAAAATAAAGCAATTACCATAACATGATTATGTGTGATGGTAGTTTGTATTTTTGCATTTTGAATGAATTTTTATGTGATTCTACATATTAATATGCGGTGATCTTTCAACCTTCATTTTTAATTCTGAATTGTGATCTGGAGTCAAAAAGTGTAGCATTAATCTGAATAAAGTAACCAGATGATGAACTACATGAGAACCTGGAATAGACTGCATTTTCTTCCTGCCAGCAACTGTGTAACACATGATGGAAAAACCAGAAGAATGAGGAGATTACCAAGGCATAATGAAATATTACTACAAATGTACATCTTTGTCAGATCTGTTCAAAGGAAAGTATACATACACAATCATTCTTTCGGGACCCAGTATAAACACTGCATGTCAGGAGATGAAAATTATCACGCAGGGCAAAATTTCCAAGCAAGAAGGTGTCAAGCGTGGTACTGCACAGGGAATCTCCGTGAAATGCTCTCTTAGGGACTTACCATCGCAGTCTTCAGGGCCACAGAGTCTAGGTTTGGCACCTTAGCTAGAGGACCCTGGAAACAGGGGAAATTAGTTACAGAGAGAACAGGATGGAAAGAAGAGGTGACACACTGTCGATGCTCTCTCTTCATCCCTAATAAAAGCAGGGGTGGGGATGGCTGTTTTCATTTTTATATAATCCTTCATTTAATCATTATTGTTTAATTAGCATGAAAGCACTCAATATTATTTGCTGGAGGAAGAGAAAAGCTAGTATGTTTGCTAGTAAGAGAAGTAGCAGAATATTTCAGATTTACTCATAAACAAACAAACAAAAAGAAATTCTAAGAAGAGACCAGTGACACATGAAGAGTTCCATGTCACCCTCATAATTTTAACTCCTTTCTATTTAAAGGAAGGTGCTTTCATGGCTTTCTGGAGTTATCATTTTATTACCTCTGTCTCCTGGCATTCTATAATTTAATAAGATTTACCATATATACTCGAGTATAAGCCCACCCGAATATCAGCCGAGGCACCTAATTTTACCACACAAACTGCAATATAAATGTGCTGGAAAACTCAGCTTATACACAAGTATATTCAGTAATCACTCCAGAAGTGATTATCTTTCTAAAATAACAGACTACAGTTTGCTAAATTAAAAAAGGCTGAATGTTATTAATAATCTATCCCATGAGTTAACAAATGATAGAAGATGCTAAAAAAGTCAATAGTATGAATGGACTTTATATTTTTTATAATAGTATTTTGCATTTTTATTATACAGTAATACTGTGCTTATTTTTATTACTTTAACCAAAGCTATCTATAGTAATAAGCGTAGTTAATATTTTGGGACACTCTATTACATGCCAGGCAGTCATCTATGAACAATACATGGATTATTTCATTCATCTCAGAACAGCCCTGTGACAGCTGCTATTACCACTCATCTTTAGATGAGGCGACACGCAGAAAACATATACTTTCCCACGGCCTGGCAGCTATTAAGTGGTGGAGCTAGGATTCACATTCAAATCTGGCTGTAGAACCCATATTGGAAACCAGTACATTATTCGAACTAGGAAATCTATTTGCTTACCTGTTCAGGTTTATGTTGCTGTACAATGTTATAGATGTAACTCAAACCTGCTCTAGTTAAAACATAAGAGGCTTGATCATTTATAAGTGTGTCCAAATGGGCTTCAATCTAAAAGAGAACACCACACAGAGAAAAGGGTTTTATAAAAGAACAGAATGGGTGCGAGTAAGAGCAGACAATCCCGGAGCCCTAGTTCTCCTCATGAATCTTTTGTTGAAGTGGCACATACTATTAAGCAAAGGGGATGCTTCCATAGCAAGGCATTTTTCTTATCTCAAAGAAGTTCTCCCAAAAGGGAGAAAGAATTTCCCTTTCAAACATGATAACCAAAGAGGATTTCAGGCCAAGCCAGCGGCAAAAACAGTTTGAGATGCGTCTCAGCTTTTTAACAAAGCTGGTGATAAGCAAAAGCAGCCAAACAATGAAAGAAGCAATGCAAAGACACAGAGCAAGAACACACAACTAAATTCCTAGAGCAGCCATTCTCAACAGGGACAAATGACCCTTTCACAGGGGTTGCCTAAGACCATCCATCGGAAAACACATCAGTATTCCATAATATATAATTACATATTGTTTTGTGATTAATCACTATGCTTTAATCATGCTAAATTTTTTTAATCATGCTAACTTATGTTCAATTTTTAACAATGAAAATACACCCTGCATATCAGATATATTTACATTACGATTCATAACAGTAGCAAAATTACAGCTATGAAGTAGCAATGAAAATAATTTTATGGCTGGGGGGTCACCACATGAGGAATTGTATTAAAGGGTCGCGGCATTAGAAAGGTTGAGAACCACTGACTTAGAGTAATTTGGGAAGATGAGAATGAACCTGTCTCACCTCTTCTCTCTGTGAACTCAACAAATAAAACATGCCACCTGGGAAAACCAATAGGAAATCCCATGGGCACCGGGAGAGAAAGTTTTCCTGAAAAATCAGGTCTGTAAATTCCAGGGCAGAGTATAAGCTCCAACAGAGCCTTGATGAAAGACTTCAGGTTTCGGAATCTCCCAGGAGGAGCTGGCGGGCAGATGTGAATGGAATACACTCATTTGCTTTGGGGCAGCCACCTACTGGAGCAGAGGCTAGAGGGGAGCTCCCTGATGGACTACAGCATACAGGAATGGGAAGATCACCAATTCTCCCTTCATTGGTCCAAAGGAGGCCTGAGGGGCCAGGAGGTCTTCTTCCTACTAATGGGAACATCCCAATAATCGTACCAGCTTGTTCACCAGTGACACATTACACTGGGAACGATGGTATCTGCTACCATGTGAGCACCTGCCCTTAGCCAAAGAGCTCCAATAGAGGAATCCATCCTCACTATCATCTAAAACAGAAATTGTTTTTTAAATAATGTAGGAATTTAAAAGTCAACCATTTGAATAATCACAAGCTTCCTCCCTGCCCCCCACCACCCCCCAAGCAACATTACTGGGAAACTGAGAATTTTCATCACTTTTGCAAAGTAACAGCATTAGGAAAGACTATTAGAAAATTACAAACAAAATAAAAACCAAGATCTACAAATGCAGAGATAAAATAAAAGTGAAAAAGAAATGTGCTATGGCTAAGAGCCACGTTAGTGGCATGAAAGAAAAAAGAGAGAAAGAAATATAGAGAATATACAATTATCAAAGAAATAGATCGTTAGGAAAGACATTTCAGAATAAACTAGAGCCCAGGTGCGAGTGGGCAGGAGTGGGTAGCCAGCCTCAGTGCAGCCTCAGCACAGGCGACCAGAACTGAAGAGCACACCGCCTTCCCACCCACATCCCTCGTCCAGCGTGTCTTATCCTGTCCATTTGAATCTTCCAAGGTAACCTGGTGAATTTAATTATTGGGATTTTATCTCCCTGGTCATTGACCCATCCAGGCTTTTTCACTTCAATTAGTCAGAAGTCAGTTTTTGGGTTATTGTTGTTTTTCCACTCAAGCCCTTTGTGAGGAAAATAAAAGACTATATTAATCGCACTCTTCTCTCCTAGTTCCTCGGTGGTAAACTAAATCGGTTTTGATTTTTTTTAAAGCTGTTACATAATGTCCTGTATAATAGCATGGGGTCTTCTTAACCAAAATGACTGAAGTTTGTCCACAGAATTTGCTGCTGCATGGCTACAATCTTACCTCTTATTCCTACTGCAACAGGTGGTGACATGAGCATTCCGATGGGAAATATTAAGAAGCACAAGTCCTTTCAGTGATGAAGGAACTGATAACAAAAATGTTTGTCTAAAGAGCCAAAATGTTTGTTTTTCAATCTGAAATGTATTGTTGTAATAAAGACCTATTTATTATCTTAAATCTTTTTTTACATAAAGAGATAGTGAGAGAATAAACTAGAGGACTGTTCCAACCAGAGAGATACAACAAAAATCTGGAGCTTCAGGAAATAGAGGAAAAACAGGCACGTACATATGTAAATATATTTGTATATAATGATAGGGACATAGATCTATGCACATATGTTTATATGTTAAGTATTAAGGTAGCAGATGGACATTGGGTCACTACTCAAGTACTCCCTCAATGCAAGAACACTTTGTTAAAATGATCCAGCATTCTGTGGTGCTCACCTTCCCGACACAATCACTGAAGACAAAATGGGTGCATAAGCAAATGTGGTAAAGAAAGCCGATGGTGGCCAGCTATTACAAGATATCGTGTCTGGGGTCTTAAAGGCTTATAGTTAAACAATCGTCCATCTAGCAGGGAAACAACAAACCCACATGGAAGAAGCACACCAGCCTGTGTGATAAGATGAGAGCATCATAGAACTACCTTGTAAGACATGGAACTGCCTTGCTAGACAGTGAATGATGAACATATGAAACTCCATTTTAAAAGAGAAATACCTCAAAGAAACTCTATTTTGAAAAAGAAATAAAAACAGTATAAGATCCAGCCAGAATGTTGACCCACTGCCAAGAACAAACATTTGGACTAAAGAGCCACCCTAGAAAGTCCGGGGAACCCCAATAAGACTTGGTCGAATGCTGCAGAATTTCCAGAATGATATCAAACAGCCGGCTGAACTGCCTATATAAACCTGGGTAGAGTCACTGACTTTTTGGAGAGCTAGGTATGAAGGAAACATCAACTCCTGCTCTCTCCAACTCTACCCAGGGTGAATACACCGATGAAGGCAATGCTTATTGGGATTATGATGCTGAAATAATAATGTGTGTAGGGTGTTGCCCTTACACTCTTATATTTGTCCTGATATTCTTCTACTTAATATTTTGAGTTAATTTTAAGATTATTAGATTGTTTGATATGTGTTTACAGTGAATAAACCAAACATTCAAAGAGGTCAAAGGGCGTTAAGTAATTATTGATCCCGCCGCTCATGATGAGTTGTCCACAGGATCAGGTACCAGGCATCAGAAGACCCAAAACAAAGAATCATATATATGCAAATGTGGGGGGGGGTGGAGTAGCAACCCAAAGCCCTTCTGTAGACAATTGGGCATCCCCTCACAGAAGGTCACAAAGGTTGAGCCAGCCAGGGTGCAGGATGGCACCGACAAAATATACAACTTACCTCTAGTTCTTTACTGCTTCCTTCCCTACACTATTATGACCCCAGTTCTACCTTACAAATCCGGCTAGACAGGAGCACGTGCACAGGTACAAATAAGAGCTCTCCACACATGGAATTCAGGGCATATAAACCCCTCAGGAACAGTAATGACAGTAGTGATACCATGAGGTAGGGGGAGGTAGGGGGAGAATGGGGAAACCGATTGCAATAATCAACGTATAACCTCCCACCCCAGCGTGACAAACAACAGAAAGATGGGTGAAGGAAGACAGCAGATGTATAAGATATGAAAATAATAATAATTTATAATTTATCAAGGGTTCATGAGGGTGGGAGGGTGAGGGAGGGAGGAAAAGAATGAGGAGCTGATACCAAGGGCTCAAGTAGAAATAAAATATTTTGAAAAGGATGATGGCAGCATATGTACAAATATGCTTGACACAATGAATGTATGGATTGCTATAAGAGATGTGAGAGTCCCCAACAAAATGATTAAGAATAAAAAACTGGAGCTTCACAGTATAGAAGACTAAAAAGATCAAAGAATAGACTCTTTTGACCGATATCTATTTCTGCAGTCCTAGATGAAACTAATGGAAAACATGACATGTGTAAAGATTTCCTGAGGTAATGTGTGAACACAAACGAGCAATTAAAATCACTTTAAAGGGTTATTCCTTAGAAGGAGAAATCCAGAGGGAAGGATGACACATTTTGACTTTTATTTTCAAACAAACGCTGTGTAGGGTAATTTGACTTTAAAACATGTATATAATTAAACTCTCTGTATATATTTCTCTTAAAAGGAGGAATTCAAAATTAGAAAGCAACACAAATTTAGATGTATCAAAACTTGTTCCTCAAAAAAAGAAGAAAAACACCTCATTCATTAAAAAAAAAACCCAACTTAAATAAAGTCGTACAATACCTTCACTGCCAAAGTAGTCATATACTGGTGATAATACAACAGACACACCTATTTGCTTTTTTAAAACTTCACATCTACCATTATGAATCAATACTTCCAAACTGGAACCAAGAATTTAGTAGATTTTAGAAATGCCTTTATTTGAGCCTTCGTGCCGACTCTTCAATAACGCCACTTCGTTTAAAGGACTAGAGTGATTGGCTTAATAAACTGTAATGTTTTGCCTAACACTGTTTACAGTAGATAAAAATATATCTGTCCTAGGTAACACCTTCTGTCCTAGCTGTACAACTTGAAAAAGACAGCATCTTATTCCAGTGAGAACTGAAATCTGCATACAGAATAGCTACTTAAATTCATCAGAAAAGCTTCATACTACCATTGCACACAATGGCCTGAATCAAATATCATTTTTTTTTAAATAAATCATTTTATTGGGGGCATATATATATATATAACAAACCATACATTTGTTATCTCAAGGGAACATATAAATTATTAGCATCAACAATTTCTAAGCATTATCTTTCTTCTTAAGCCCTTTGATATCAGCTCCTCTTTTTTTTTCCCCTCCCTTTCCCACCATGCCATCCTGTGTACCTTTAATATATTATGTATTGTTATTATTATTATTTATACATATCCTAAACCACCCATTCTGTCCCTTCACCTACTGTCCTGGTATTCTTCCCTTGAAGGGGGTTATTTTGCCATCATTGCTCTCCATTCCCCCATCCTCTCCCTTCCCTTCCACCATCCTCCTGGAATCATTGCTACCATTACTGTTTCTGAGGGGGTTTGTCTTTCCTGAAGTCCATATATTGAAAGCTCTTGTCTATGCCACTGTCTGTACACTGGTATAGTGAGAATTGTGAGATTGGACTGAGATAATAATAGTGGGGGTAGGAAGGATTGAAGAACTAGAGGAGTTTTGTGTATTTCGTTGGTGCTAAACTGCCACCCCACCCCACCCCCAATGCATTTTCTCCTCCCTGCAGAAAGCATATATCTTAATCATTGTATGAGTACTCTGGCATCTCCAAAGCTCAAACAGAAATCCTGAATAGATAAACTGACAGACAGACAGATGAGTGTATAACTAGCCTTCAATCAGACTACTTCAGGGATTTATAAGGTCAAGGCAATTTGAAATTAGGTTAAAATCTTAGCTGAAAACTATCATGTAGAGGGAAAAAAACCATTTGCTCCCAGTCGGTAGTTATTTTATAGCAACATTTACCTGGAACTGTAGCATTTCAAGACGCCTGTCAGTGAACTCAAACAAAGCTAATGTTGTCTTCATCATATACAGTGAATTGACCATGAAAGTAGCCATGTCCATTGTGCTCAGGTTGCTGGCTGATACAGTGCACATCTGGAGGAGAGGATCCAACACACACGATAAAACCTATGGATGAACAACAACAAAAAACTAATTTATTACTTATTTCCAAGTGAGTTTTAGGGCCCTGGGTTAATAGCACTTTAATGCCAAACTAAGAAGGGAAGCAACTTTAAAGAGCAAGTAAGAAAAAGATTAAATGGTACAATAACGCAATAGCTTTAAAAGCGGGCATCAATGAATACCACTACTTAACGAGAGTGGATTTCACATGTGAAGGGAAAATCAGCCTAAGAAGCGAGGGGTAGTACAAAACGCCAGAAGAATGTGAATGAATAGACACCAGAAGAGCAAGAAACAACAGCTCAACGATTTACAACAGACCTGCACAAAATCAGCTTGGCGAGCATCTAACGGCACCACGGAAGAATCATGAGACGCCAAAACTTCACGCAGCAGCGTGAGTGTCTGATTCAGTGCGGAACTTGGTCCAAGATCAGGTGGAGGGAGTTCAACCTAAAACAAAGATGATTTACCCATTGCTGACATTCTCTACTACACTCGAATATTCAAGATAACGCTGGTTCATGGTAAATAACATATATCAAAGACAAACGTTTTAGCTTGCACATACGAAAACCTACAATTTATTAAGTTTATTTTGAATTATACTCTCACAAAAAAAGAGTAGTCAACAGGAAATTGGGGATCAGAATTAATTACTATTCTATATATTAAAATTCTAGCATATATGTTTTTGTTTAAATAGCAGAATTAAATCTTAATATGTATTTTAAATTATTATATATATATTTTCCTATTTATTTTCTGCCCAAGTCATAAGAAAAAAGCAATTCATAGACCAACACTTGTCCCACTGTGATATAACTAAGCAGCACCAGCCATGCCCAGACTCAAATTTGGAACATTTTGGTGTGGTGTTTCTCAGCAGGGGTCTAACAATCTTCATTTTTTCACAAGAACCGCCTCAGGCAATTCTCACTAGGATGGTCACATATTTTGTTAATTCACGTCACAGAGGCAGTATAGCAAAAGTATGAAAATACTAGGCTCTGGCGTTGAACACAACAGCACTACATTGGAAATGTACCGTTTACTAGTTGTGTGACGTAAGGAAAGTTACTGAAATTTTCGGAACTTCAGATAACTGCTGTAAAAATTAAAGGTAGATAAAATGGACGTTTTTAAGATTACACAAAGTACTGATTCTCAAAGAAATAGAAAATTTCAATAGACCTATGAGATATTATATTACTAGCTCACCCCTGCAAAAGAAGAAGGAAAAAAAATTGCACAAACAAAAGCCTCAGTGTCAGATGGATTCATTGGTAACTTCTACAAAAATTTTAAAGATTTATTATCAATCCTACATCAACTGTTCCAGAAAGTAAAAACGAGACAATAGTTTTAAAACTATGGACTGCATTGGCTCAATTCTCACTCAGACTCACCATTCCCTCAAATTCAGAGAGTTGAAATGGCACAAATACGTAGTTTTCAAATTGAGGTTTCAATGAAAACAAACTGTTCTCAGAAAGAGTAGGAAGAGACCAAACATTTGCCCATATTCGAGTCAAGCAAATATAATACCCAGAAAACGACTCTCTGACAAGAGAAGAGAAACAAGCAACTCGGCAAGTATGTAAACATATTACAGTGGTGGGAAAAAGGGGGGGGGGGTTGCACTAATCATGAAAAAAAGCAAACAGCACACATAGTAAAAAAATACAATTTAAGAGAGAGAAGAAAATTGCTTATACTTGATTTGTGCTATAGAACAAGAGTCAGTAAACAACATGGGCGATATCTAACCTGCTACGTTTCTGCAAATTAAATTTAACTGGAGAACAGCTGCATGTATTCGCTTATATATGGGCTTTCAAAGTCCTAGTAGTGCTGTTCCTAATACTTGGTTGCCAATAAAAAAATGAACAGCTCTAACCTGCCAGGCACTCTGCATCAGAAAGATATGACAGTCTGCTTACAGCCTTGGGAACCTTACAGTCCTGTAGGGCAGCCAATCTGGGTGGCTTTCCTGGGTGCTTGTGCACTACCATGAGAGTTAAGTAGCTGTGAAAGAGATGGTAGAACCCACAAAAATAGTCTCTAACTCCTTACAGAAAATTTGCGGATTCCTCCTACAGAACCCTATGTGAAGAGTTCAAGGAGAAGATCACACAATAGCAAATCAAAAAGGAATATTGCATGTATTGCATGCCTAAAGAGATACACTGATGACTCAAGAAACAGGACTGGTGAACTAAACGATAAGTCAAAGTCTATTACAGAAATTATATATGTGTGTATGTGTGTGTATGTATGTATATCCGAGAAATCATGCCAAATCACGACACAGAGACTTAACTGAAGCACATTAATAGAGATGAGTGAGAAAAAAACAAACTCACTAGGCTAAGTCAGTGTCCCTGAGGCAGAGAACTAACAAATGAAAGAGAAGACGTACTCAAAATATAATTCAAAACCATTTAATCAAAACAAGGAACTAAATCTATAAAATCATAGTACACACTGTATTACAGAAACTCGGGCGCATAACACTCAAGATCTATCATCCCACTCAAGCTATTTCATTTCAAGGATCCAGAAGGATTTTTCTGACATCCTGTAGAAAAAGCAAATTAAACACAGGCCAGGGGCAGAGTAAACCATCAACAACTGTTAATTCAAGGTGGCAGGATGTGAAATGTCTTCTCTACGAATTTTTGTTTTAAAATTAGGGATGTATTTCATGCAAGCTAATACATATAGTTTTAATACTAAACTCACTGTGCACATATTATGTACACATGTATACAGACATATCATATAAATTGAACAAGACTATCTAAAATCATTCCCTGTAATCTTTTAAGTATGAATCAGAAAAACTGGACAACACTCTTAACAACAGCTTCACTACAGGAATAGGCAGTATCACAAACCAGAACAAACATGGTGTGTGTGTGTGTGTGCGTGCGTGTGTGTCTTCATTTCTCTCTCTTATTAACAATATCAAGAAATAACAGCCAGGAGGCTTACTCTAAAGAAGTTAGGTGAGAAACTCTAGTGTTAATTATACATGAACTAAAATTGATTCCTTATATTCAACATATAATTTAAATTATAAACTATATAACTTTTGAAAAAAACAAAAAGAGCTTTAAAGACTTTATAGAAATCCTTTAAATATTTTATAAGCTTTATAGGAAATTCAAATCAATTTCTACTCCACTCTCTTAGAAACCAGTCAGTACCAATGAGTTACAAATGCACGCACACACACACCCTCCAGCCAGAGCGATGTTACCGTAGAAACAAGTATTAGTAATATCACTGTTGTCTGAGACAGAACTTGAGCTAATGACTGAAATCTTACAAACTAATAGAAAAAAGTTGAGCTTTTGCCCTAGAAATAAACAGTTCCTTCTTTCTTATGCTGTTCTCTGTTTTAACCTGTCCCATATTTCTTTCACGATCCTTAAATTCTACGATATCTTCACTTGGGGTAAAGTTGATCATACATGCTACAATGCTGAATATCTCAAGTTAGGGCATGGAAATAGGTGTTCAAGCAGGTAAGCTTTGTTTTAAGCGTGGACATAACATCACTACCAGAAATTTTATGACATAAGCATGTCCCTAAAGGCAAGCATGTTAAAGTAAGTCTACAGGCCCATATAACTGGTGATATACTGTGGTAGTTATACATTTCAATTCAACTTGAAGATATATAAAAGTGTAGGGGTGGTATTCAACCTGTTAGTCAGGGTGAGTCTCATGGGTGCTTCTCATAAGTAAGGCCCGAGGAACCTCCCTCTTTCTCTGCCTTGACCTTCCTGCTTGCTGGTCACCCTGAAAGCTGCTGGAGCCCCGCGATGTATCCATTAACATTGATTCCACATGGCTTTGGACCCACTGGCCTATGCTCTTCCTGCTTTCTGCATCATTGCATGTGGCGGCATGAGTCTGAAGAAGGACTATATTGGATTGATAGACTTGAGTTGGACTGGGATGGGATGTTTTCTTGAAATCGAATTACTTCTTGATATAAAGCTCCCTTATACCTACATGAATGTCACTGGATTTGTTTCTCTAGTCAACCTGGCCTAAAACATACACTTATTCCTCACTTAGGCATTATCACAATAATAAAACATCTACTACCCAATTACTTTGCACATGAGCAACAACATATGTCTGGAAGTGACAAGCACTGCGGTGCATAGCGAGAACAACACTGGCCGTGATGGCTAAGGTTGTGTCAACTTGGCTGCGCTGTGACGTTTAGTGGCTGGGCACTTTATGAAACTGTAATCTGGTAGTTATGTAATGATGTAATTACATTCCATTTTGTGATCTGACGTGGTCACCCTCGATTTTCACACAATGCTGATTTTTGAATAATGACATGACCATTCTGGTAAATGAGAAGTGGGTGCAGAGTATATACTTCCTTAGAGGCAATAGGGTACTTTTGTTTCTAATGCCCAAAGACAATATTGTTAAAGTACTGAAAACATCTAGTAGGCTCCAATTTCAGGAACATATGTTATTTACCACTCTTTCACAGTGCTGTTTTATAATGGGCATGTAAAAAATGAAAAAACATACTGACTCTGAACACTAACACTGAACATGCCAATTATAAATGCTTTAATAACTAAATTGTTAAAATGAAGGAATTCTGGAAGTGCAGTGCGTTAAGTGCTGGGCTACTAACAGCAAGGTCAGTGGTTCACACCCATGAGCCACTCTGTGGGAGAAAGATGAGGCAGGCTGTCTGCAACTATAAAGATTCACTCTTAAAGGCCAGTGATGCTTGAACTAACTACAAGCTTTTCCTTCTTGGTATATTTTAATTTGTTCTTTGTCAGTGGCTTGATGTTGTTGCTGTTTTGTTGTACATTGTTGCTTGGTTTTGCTCTGTCTTG